GAAGGTTACTCTTGTGAAGTGGTATTTATTATTTTAGAAGAAGAAAACTCATGATTTTTCATTTAGCAATTTCCTGGACAGAGCGAATATATATGAATTACGTGTTTTGCTTCATGTAACAGGTGGGGACTAAATATTTTCATATTGATATCTAGAGTTATATCTAGAGTATATTAATAGTGTTTATAAATTGATAAAAATAGTACTTTTAATTTCCAAAAAACTTTTAAGAAGCTGGCATAATATAGGAGTTTTTATTATTTTTCTACAAGTTTCTTGATTGCAAGAATCTTTTGGTTAGATAGTTAGTTAAGGTCAGTGTTAAACACTGTAAATCCATTCTGCGTAATCATCTTGTATTTGTTACAATGATATTTATTTACTATGCAGGATCTATTTTATGTAGTGATTAGTTTTAGAATTTTTTTTTCTTATTTTGTGTTGACCATAAACTTTCCAAGACTCCTTTCAAAAAATGGTATTTTTTTAATATATATTTTTTATTTTTACTGTTGCACTTTAAGTGAAAGTTTACAATTCAAGTTAGTCTCATACAAAAATTTATACGTACATTGTTATGTGACCCTAGTTGCTCTCCCTATACTGTGACAGCACACTCCTTCTTTCCACCCGTGATTTCCCATGTCCATTCAACCAGCTCCTGACCCTCTCTGCCTTCTCATCTCACTTCCGGACAGGAGCTGCCCATTTAGTCTCATGTATCTACTTGAGCTAAGAAGAACACTTTTCACCAGTATCATTGTATGTCCCATAGTCCAGTCTAATCTTTATCTGAAGAGTTGGCCTTGGGAATGATTTTAGTTCTGGGTTGACAGAGAGTCCGGGGCCCATGCTTTCTGGGAATCCTCCAGTCTCAGTCAGACCATTAAGTATGGTCTTTTTACTAGAATTTGAGTTCTGCACCCCACTTTTCTCCTGCTCCATCAGGGACTTTCTGTTGTGTTCCCTGTCAGGGTGGTCATTGGTGGTAGCCAGGCACAAAATGGTATTTTTTAAAACTTTTTTTCTTGTATCTAGTCCATGTTTTTGATGCATTGATAGTCTTTAAATTTTGTTATATTAGTTCTCTTATTTCTGGTTTACTATTTGTCCATAAGCTCTACATTGCTTCCTAAGTCTTAAATGTTAATTTGTTTCCTCTGATTCTTGATGTTACAATGTGGGATTTTTTTTTTTTGTAACTTAAGAACATAATTGTAAGATAATTAATATCAGTGACCTCTAAGTAATGTTGCAAATTTAATAAAGTATTTTTTCAAATAGCCCCCAAAGACTTAAACTCATCCTAAAGAATAATTATAAAATAATATCAGTGACATACAGATAAATGCACAAATCAAGTGAAATAATTATTTTCTCATATGCCCTGGGAGACTTAAATTAATTTTAAAAGAATCTGCTATTACCCTTTCCTTCCATTTGCTTTTGTAGATTTTACAGGTCTGCAAAGGACAAACTTAGAGACAATTTAACCATTGTGTTATGTGTTAAATAAATGTTAGTTTCTAACTTTAAATTTATCGGCCACATTCCAGAGGATCAGTGATGGAGATATGTCTGGGGCTGCAGGGCTGGTCTTACCCAAGGACAGGGCAGTTCCCACATAGCTCTAGGTGTTCTGGCCCCTGGACCTCCTTATCAGATGACAGCAGCTTTAACAGTTGATGAGATTTTGTTTTTGTTTGTTTTTTTATGTAAAATAGGGATCAAACTCTTATTTTTCTAGGAGTATCTTCTACTAGTATAGTTGCTGATAAAAATTCACATGCTCTAAATTTGTATATCCGCCTTATGTACTTCATTTGCTCCTTCCAGGACCGATAAACCTCAGCAAGATGGGAGTAGGGGGGATACATAGACACCTCAAGGGGTATTATAGAAACATTAAACAAGGTTTGGTCAGATAGACAAATCCAAAATGGAAACTAAGGCATGAGCCAGGGCCAGAGAAATTGTAGGAATTTTAAGCAGTATTTTATGCTTTGAAAGCTAGAGGCACTGAATTGTGTAGCTGTTTTTTGTTTTTTTTTTTTAAATATTTGATAGCATTTTTAAGGTTTCAGTGGATGTATGGAAAGACTCGTCTCTGTCTCTGCGCTGATAGGGTTGATACTTCAGGTTCTCACAGGTGATATAACTTTGGCTTTGAGTTATTGTGCTTTAGTTAAGTGGGTATGCAAAAACAGAGCTATCCACACTCCTATTTTAAAGTCGACACTGAATATGAAAGTTTTGTAGGCTCGAGAGAGTTTTGTACAATGTTGGAGGTATCTTAAGTACTTCAGAATATATTACTGGATTGCAACTGTCGCACAATTACTGCAGTTCAGAGGTTCTCAACTGGGAGGGTATTTGGGAATGTGGGTGTTTTTGGTTGTCAGAATACGTAGAGGCATTGCTGGCATTGATTGTGCAGGGCAATGCTAAGTGGCTGTTAATGTAAGGGACAGTCTCACATAAGAAAGAATTGTCCAGCCCCATATGCAGTGGTCCTCTGTTGAGAAACACTGCCCAAAGTCTCACTTCTCTTCTTGTAACACCCCTGTTTTTAGTATAGTTTAATTAAGAATTTCATTTAAAATAATACCACTTGAGAAGTCTGTGTCAAGTTTGCAGTGTTTTTGCTGTTGTGGAGTATTTTAGATGTATAATTTGACAATGTTGTGAGTCAAGAGGGAGAGAAGAAAATGAGAGTCTGGTTTTTATTAGCAACTAGGATTAGAAGTGACAGAGGAGGATCCAGGCGCACAGATAAATGGTGAATCCTTTAGAAAACAGCAGTAAGATCCCTCTTTTCTCTGGAAAGAAATAATGAGTGAATTCCTCTTTGGACACAGAGAGGACAGTGTAGAAAGTCAGAGAAAAACTTATTAATCATGTAACAATCTAAATTATATTGTAGCTTTTTATTAAGAAAAAGTTGAGATTAATTGAGAAAACAAATGAGAGAACAAAGTATTTTAAGTACTTTAATGTTTTAGTTGTCTGTGTCAGATGCCGGGACACCTCAGTTGTTTGAATTGTGCCGTGAGCTAGCAGCTACAACAGAAGAGGAAAAGGAAAGGAGCTGCGTGTTAAATACAGAGGGAGAAACAAAGGAAAAGCAGATGGAAAGAAGAAGGCGGCACCTCAGAAAATGGCAGCACCACCATCCTTCTGTGCCCTCAGGACAGAAACCTTGGTGTCATCCCTGACTTCCTCTCATTCTTTCATACCTAACCTCTAATCTGGCAGCAAATCTCGGGAGTTCTATTTTGAAAATGTATCTAAAATCCAATTCTCATTTCTCTACAGCTATCTGGGCCAAGCCACCATCATCTCTTGCCCAAACTGGGCCCTTAGCCTCCTAAGAGGTCTTCCCACCTCCAGTGTACTCCCCTACAGTCTCTTTTAAAATCTAAATCACATTAGGTCACTACTGGCTTTATAGCCAGTCTAGTGAACAGTGCATACCCTGCAAAGTCCATACTTAATCAGCCTCCCACCCCACCACCATCCCACATCTCTCTGACGTCATCTCCGCCACTTTCCCTGGCATTTGCTGTGTACCAGCTGCACTGGCATCTTTGCCTCCTCAAATCCCCAGGTACACTGCCACTTTGAGGCTTCTCACTCCTTGTTCCCCACTTCCTTGTAATGCTCCTCTCCCATATTTGCTAGGTTCTCAGCTCTTCTCCTTCCGGCTGTTATGTAGTTGTCCCCTTCAGTATGAGACACACTGTTGGATACACAGGCATAGAGATAGTGAAAGAGATAGTGGCTTTCTGTTTGGCTTTGTTTTTCTCTAAAGCACTTTCGTTATATTTTATTTGCATTATATTTTACTTATTTGTTTATTGTGGCTCTGCTCCCCTAGAGGGCAAGAATCTCTGTTCTGTTCACTGCTCAAGAACAGTGCTTGAAATAGTACCTGCTCCACAAGGAGAGGCAGGAGTAAGAAGCTGGTGAAACATGGTTAAGAAACCATAGCAGAAGTCAAAAGTATGAGACCTTGGCCAAGTTACCTAACCCCCTCGAATGCTATGACTTACCTGTAGAGTTACTGTGAGGATGAGCTGAACTATATATGTGAAGTTCTTAGCCCAGTGCCTGCTGGTCCTTGGAAGAAGCTTTATAATGATAGTTATTAATGACAGTGATGATAGTGATGATTCTTGTGAGAAGGAAAAGACAAATCAAGGGAAATGGTAGAAGATTCTGTAAAACCTTACTAAGAAAGCAAGTGAAACACCTAACATTTTATTCACTCCTGGGGGCATAAAGTGTTACACAAGGACTGCCTAATGGAACTGTATGGTGGTCAGTAGGTATTTATGGTACAGGTGATCAGGTATGCACACCTCAGGAGCCATTAATCTTGTCACTGTTTTATAGCCAGACACATGTTTTTAACTTCACAATGATCTCAAGCCTTGAAGGAAAGGATTGATTATGTTCAACATATGATGTATACTAAGGAAGGACCTCTTAAATGTATATGAGAAAGATGCTCAATATTAAAAATTAAAGGAATGGATATAATGGGCTAACCTTCAGTTATCTAAAATGTGAAGGAATGGTTAAATGCTAGGTTATTTACCAAATAGTTGGCAATTCGAATTCACCCAGCGACTCTGCAGGAGAAAGACCTGGTGATCTGCTCCCGTGGAGACTGCAGCCTAGAAAACCCTATGGGGGCAGTTCTACTCTGTCACATGGGGTTGCTAGGAATTGAAATTGACTTGAGGGTACCTAACAACAACATCTAAAATTTTATTTACTGAGTATTTTCTTGCTAAGAATTTATGTTGGTTTTGGCTAACACTGAGCTCTTTAACAAGATGCAAGTTATGGAATACATTCCCTGTGCCATTCATGAATAAAAAGTAGTTTAGATGACCAGTTCCAAACTTAAATACAGGGCCTTTGGTTGCTAATGGTGATCTGGTGAGTGTGGTTAAATAGCTCAAGGGGGAAAAAACAAACAAACAAAAAACTAGCCTTATTAAAGTACTGGGGTAAAAAGTCAAAGCACAGTTCTTTATGGCAGGGGGCAGACAGTATATTCTTCCAGTATGAAGAATGTCATTAAAATACATGCTCCTTGGCTTATAACAATTAAGGTGCAAAGTTACAATGTAAGCAAAATCTTATGGGCCAAGGAAGGAAAGATACTCTAATCAAGGTCATGAAGAAATAGGAGAATTATGCTTAATGGTATGTGAATAATTTGTGCTGGAAACATTCAGAATATTACAGTGGAAGTTCTACTTACAGTGAAATGATTTTCATATATTATGAACGACTCCAAATAACTCTTTTAAGACATATGTTGCAGAAAGGACCATCTTTATAGATGGTTTTTTCTAAACAAATATGTCATATGCATTTACAAGAAATGATTTTTGTCTTCTCATTTATTCTACTATACTATGAATATATTGAACAGAAATTTTTAAAGGCATAACTGTAGCTCTTTCTAAACATCTCTCATGCAAACATTTGCATTTTACTGCATGTTTTTCGTTCTGTTCCTCAAAAAGAGCTCTGCGTGGCCAGTGTTAGTAAGCCCACCTTTCTGCTTTAGGAGGTTGAAAAACAAAATAATGTAATGGGGTCTAATTGTGTTTGCGTTCAGTACAGTACTGATATAAGTAAAAGAGGGACAATTAAATTTTAGAATACTCAGCAATGCTTTGTGTTTTGGACTATTAACAAAGCTAATTTATTTGTTCTTAGGAATGGTACAATTCCAAAGCAAAAGTTTGATGTCATTCTAATGAGTCTGCTTTCAATTGTAGAGCATAATGCAGCCCTAGTAAAGATTAGTAAGAAATCTATTTTATTGTAGACAATAAATCTGAGAAGAAAATGCTCAGCATAGACTGAAGTTGATCTGGCATGGAGTTGCTTTATGAATTGCCCTTTGAGCAAACTCTGCAGTTCTTATGTGGTTTTAAATCACTGTAAATTTGTAGGCAGGTACATATTACAATTGTCTGTTTTTCTTTTTAGGGCTCATGTAATCAAAGAAGTTTCTTTGTTGTGTGTATCTTTACAGAACACAACAGGAATTGAAAATGAATCAGGTGAGTTTAAAAATAAGAATTTATGCAAATACATTACCTAGATGTTAGACCAGTTCTTGATTTTTGAAAGATAGTTCGTTCTGCCTAGAATTTCATTTTTGTTTCTTAATACCATTAATCAAGGAGCCCTGGTGGTGCAGTGGTTAAGTGCTTGGCTGCTAACAGAAAGGTTAGCAGTTCAAACCCACCAGCTGCTCCGCAGGAGAGAAGACCTGGCAATCTGCTCCCGTAAAGATTACAGCCTGGAAAACCCTAAGAGCAGTTCTATTCTGTCCTACAGGGTGGCTATGAGTCGGGATCGACTTGAAGGTACACAACAGCAACAATACCATTAATTAGCTCATTGCCTTCATAGTGTGTGTGTGTTCGTGAAGTGGAGTATGCCTTGTCTTGGCATGGGTTGGCATTCTTTGGGTTCACATTTTATATCTACTGTTGTCAAAAATAAGTGTATACTTTGGAACCCTGAGTAGAGGACGCCTTTTTAGGGATCTTAGTTCAGATTTTTGTTTTTCACCTCTCCTTTGCCACATCATAGCGAGGGTTTTTGTTTGTTTCGAAGCTTATTGGCTTTTGTTTTTAACATGTTTTATTTTGTAATTATCCATTGGTTGAAAAGAGAAGTTTGAAAGTTATTTTTTGAGACCGAGACTGATCAGATGAGAAACTTCAAGCATTCTGTCCCTGAAAAACCTAGCCATTGAATAAAAACAATGAGGCAGATATTTAAACGTGAGACGTGTTTCTCCTTACGGGGTGTGTGGGATTACCTGAAGATTAATCTGTTCTGCTGTGGTGGTTTCTGTAGCCTCAAGGGTGTTTTGATAAGTAGAACCAGTTTTGTGGATTTAATTTATTCTAAAGTTGTGTTCTTATTTTATTGGCCTGAGTATCATTTCACTTGCAGTCATGGAAATTTATGAGTGTCTGAAACTTTCTCTTTTGAAGTCTTCATAAACACATTAAAAAATATGAAGGGCACAGCTTAAAAATGTGAATTATATAATTTTTAGTGCTTAGCTTGAAACTATCAGGCTTGAAAACATTTTGTATCCTTCATCAGCTATAACTTTGGGCACCTTTTTATCATTCACAGGTGCTTCTAACTGCTTTTACGGGTGGATCACAAGTCCAATTTAATTAGGTGGCCAAACTTAATAAATTCAATTTCATGTTGCATTGAGGGATGTGAACTTTTTGTAAATTTATTCTTTTGATTTCTTTTCATTACTTTCTTTATCAGAAATACGTTTATTCTATTGCGAGGACCATACATCATAAAAAATGAATCTGGCGAACACATGGGGCACATGGTTTCTGTTATTTTAAAACTTGCAGATTTACTGACATGCTTTTGAAGGCAAATTATTTTTGAAATGGTGAGATGGGGGAGGGAAAAGAGAACAGAGTAGATTTTTACAGTCATCATCCATCAAAGTTATATGCATATATATGCCATAGATTTCATTTATTTTCCTATTTTAAGATGGATTCTCAATGTGAACCCGGCCATCCAGAGAAAGTTGCTTTTCTTCTGCCTAGGAACTGTTAGAGGAATCTTAATTCTGGTTTAGAATGGTTTTGAATGCTTTCAAAGAGGAGACCAAATAGTCACATTGCTCTTGTTGCATCACCAGTAAACAATCATTTATTTGAGGTGGCTACAACTTTAGCATTAGGCCTAATGATACCTTAATTCTTATACTGTATTAGGGGAGTACAGTTCTATTTCTAAAGTGAAAACTTGCTTGACACCTCACACTTTCACTTTATATTCTGCATATATCAAGCAAATACATGCTTTAAAAAGTCTGCATGCCATTCAGAAGAACTGTACAGTAGTGATAGCCATTTCTTTTCTTGTATGCTTTTACAGTTTCTTTTTGCTTTTTACAAGTTTCGATATCAGATCTACAGAGGGCTGCCTTTGATGCCAGATGCCAAATATCAATGGGAAGGTGTCCTCTTATGTTTTTAATGGTTAACACATTTCTGATTTGAGTGTAATTTAAAAGGTTTGGTAGTAATGAAACTTTTATTTGGATTATAAAAAGTGTCCACTTTTTTATGAGTAAAAATTTCAGCATCTCTAGTTACTGTTTTCATTATTTGAGGACTATTACATGATATTTAGACCTGATTATTGTATCATGGAATAGACCTGATTATTATGTATCATGGAATAAAAATGTTTTTCAACAATTACCCCAATAATTTTTAAAATTAAGGATTGTTTCAGTACATTTTATGTTTTCTTCTCTCTTGTATTTATTCTTTTCATTTAAAGCCAATGAAAATGAGCAATAAATGCTTGGAAAAACTTCAAAATAAAGCCGTACAGAAATTCAGATATTAAAAAAAAATAGTTTCTGCTTGAATCAGACTGACATAATTACAATCTCTATGGCCATTTTGGGTTAGATTATTCTCTCTAGGAACTGATTAGCATTGCTTTGATGAATTTTAGCTGTCAGATCTAAGTCTCTTTTGATGGGCTTGGTCTCTAAGACAATAGCCCAGAATCATTTCATTCCTATCTCTGACAGTTGAGTTTTAGGGATGGAGTGAGCATACTTTATTGTTTGCAAATGATCGCTGTAGAAGAAACAATAGAGCACATAGCCTCCCAGTGTTCTAAGCATTGACTATGCAGCAACATTCTGAACTCAGTCACATCAACGTGTTCTAAGTCCTTTCTGGTGTAGTAGCTCGCAGAGCTCTCCCTCTAACTCTAGCTCTGGGGCCCTGTGAAGCCTCCAGACCCACAGGTTCTTTGTCTTTCTTGTCTCTTTTGTAATTCACCCTGTACTTACGCTTTTCTTAATATTTTTTATCCTCCAGATTTAGAACCCAGCTTGCCTTGCCTGTGAGTCTTTGTTCCTCCTAACTGAGCCCCTGCCTGGTTGATGGGCAAGAGAGGCAATCATTGTATTTCCTCCCATCTTTCTCCATTTTCTAATCATAGATATCCTTTACTTGCCTCATTAACATTCCATGCTCATCCCAATATTTAACTTTTGAGGTTTCCTTCGCCAGCTTTTCTAGATTTATCCAGGAAAATTCAGAATTTTGTAAGTGGCTCTTTCATTGAATATAGAGTTTGGAATGCCTTATTTTATTACAGAGTATCCGAGACGAGCTAATTTCCATAATGCAGATATATGTTCATAGTAGCTTAAAGTAGATATACTAGAGTTTATACCACCTACCCTCTACTGAGTGCTTAACACATGACAGGCACTCCGTTAAGCATTGTATGTACCAAACCCATTGCCATCGAATCGACTCAGACTCATGGTGACCCCTTGTGTTTCAGAGTAGAACTGTGCTCGATCAGGTTTTCAAGGCTGTGACCTTTTGGAAGCAGGTTGCCAGGACTTTTTTCTGAGGTGCCACTGGGTGGATTCAAACTGCCCATCTTGGCTAGTAGTTGAGTGCTTGTGCTACCCAGGGACTCCATTGTATGTACATTCTCTCATTAATTTATTCTTTACAACCACTCTGTGTAAAGTGTAGATACTGTAGCCTTTGTTTTATGGAAGAAGACATTAAAGCCCAGAGAGGTGGCCATGACTTGCCCATGATCACACAGACTGTAAGTGAAAGAGCTATAATTCAGACTCAGACCTGTCAGATTCCAAAGTCTCAATTCTTGGTCGCCACACTGTACTGCTGTATCAATTAGGGTAAGCTAGATTATGTTGTGATAACAGCAGCTCCAAAATCTCAGTGGCGTAACACAGCAACAGTTTATTTCTTGTTCTTGCTGTACCCAGTGTGAATTGGCATGGGGTTCTGCTATGTTGGTCACTCAAGAACCAAGGATGATGACTTTGTCTCAGCAAGTGTCACTTCTGCTCACATTTATTGGCCAAAGTTAGTCACTTGGCCACACCTAACTTAACACTCAGCTTGGCGATCAGTGCAGTCACATCAGGTGCCTGGAAGAACTGCAGTATTTGTGTACAGCCCTATGATTTAATCCAACTGCCTTCATTATTGATTTATTGAGTCACACTTTGTTGTTTTCTTTTTTAAAGAATCTTTGCATAGCCCAAATTGCTATTAATATTTGGAACTTTGTATCAATATAGTGGCTTATGATTGTAGCATTTCTACATCCTGATCAGTAATGTATGGTATTGACGTTGACTAGTATCAAAGCAATTTAGCCTTCCAGATTTGCTTTAAAGACTACTAAAACAACAAAAATTTTTGATCTCTGGATGCTGCAAATCTGAGTTCATTAGACAATGAGAATTGTAATAAGCCATCGACTGTCTCAGCTGGCCTGAGTTCATTCATTGTTTCATTTATCAAGTATTTTTCAGGCCCTGACTGCATCCCGGGGATAGGTGTTGTGGATTCTGCAGTGAACAAGATAGGCAAGAGCTCTGCAAAATATAGTCATGTAGAGGGAGACAGTTAACAAAGCAGGAAGAGAAAATAACTTCACATAGTGAACAGTGCCATGAAGACAGTGAAACAGGGAGCTGTAATAAAGGATGATGGGGGAGGAAGTTCCCCGGATTGCGTGGTCAGAGAAGGCTGTCCTGAGGAGGTGATTGATATTAGAACCAACACTCAAATAATTACAAGGAACCAGCAAAATGAAGCTCTGGGGTAAGAAAATTCTAGGCAGAGTGAACAAACAGTAAGTGCAGAGGCCTTCAAGTGGGAATGAGCTGGATGGTTCAGAACACAGCAAGCCAGGGGTTGGAGCTTGGCAAGCATCTGGGACTCTTCAATAAGATGACATTGGTGTGAGAGGCAAGGCCCAGATTTACAGGGCTCGAAGGGCCATTGGAAGGAGTTTAGCTTTTATTCTAGGTGCAGAGAGAAGCCACTGGACAGTGACATAATCTGAAGTCTTAGAATATCCCTCTTACTGTGGTGTGGAGGCTGCATTGTAAGGGGGCAAGAGTGTGATAGTATGTTTTTTCATTACTGAGATTAGCACTGTATTTGAGTAGTTTCTTCAGTTGGACAACTTAATGGAC